TTTTGTTCAGGTAGTTATTTCCTAACTTTACTATTTTACAACAGAACACAAAAACCTATTATATAAACAATTTAATAACTATAATTTATGAGGTTTCTTATTTCAGTATGGATTTAAATGTAGTGCAAATTGAACACTTGAGCCACTCATCCTTTTTTTTATAGGAAGACTTTCGTTTGGCTGAGGTATCTGAAACTACAGCAAAGATTTCTGGCACAACTTCACCTACTTCCAAGGTGCATGGAGAGGATGAAAGAATTCACAATGCAGGAACTCCAGCAAGACTTAAGGGAAGATGAACAACTTTAATAATTGACCAACGCGTTTCGGCTTGTGGCTTTCATCAGGGTCATGGTAAAACATTGTAGAAAATTGCTTAAATACAAGACAGGAAAAATAAAAAAATAAAAATTAACCAATCAAAACTTCATAGATAGATCAGATGACATATAACAGGTAGGTAATGATTAATTGGTTAAGTCACGCAAAAGTAAATACTGGACTAGATCATTAATGATGAGGAGGGGAGGAGACATAATCCCCACCTGTCTCAATATAACACGTGTGAAATACATAAGAAGAATACTATGAATATACAAAAAAAAAGGGACAAGGCAGTATTTAATAATAAAAGGAGGTTCATCTAGCAGTTGAATTAAAAAACAAGAGGACATCATCCCATAGGAACACATTTGTTAAAAGGTCCTAATTTATGTCTCTAAAATGTAGAGTTAAAATGTAGACTTAAGATGTCTAGAATGCTACTCCGTTGGCTGAAAAAATAAATAAATTTAATCAAATAAACATTACCCATGCGAGAATAATTTAACTGATAAAATTAGAATAAAAACTTAAAAAAGGTTCAGCTCACAAAAACTCATTGATAGAAAAATCCTCATTCATACCTCTGGGGTGCAGACTCTTAAAGCGGAATATCCAAAATGCTTTTTTTCTGGATAAAGTTAATATTACCACCTCTTTGGTTTAGTTTAATGGCTTCAATGCATAGAAACAATAATGGTGAATTTGGATGTTTATCATTGAAGTGTCTTGCAACATGGCTGGTTAGATCAAGCCTTTTGATCGAACATCTGTGTTCATTAATTCGATCTTTCAGAGGGCAGGATGTTTCTCCTATATTCATTTTATTGCATGGGCACTGTATCATGTAGATTACATTTTCAGTTCTGCATGTGATAAGTATCCGAAACTACACAAGGACTGGACTAAAAATCAGTGGCAGCAGGTCTTATGAAGAGATGAAATCAAATTCGATATTCTATTTAGTTCAGATCATCAATATGTATGGACGAGGGTAGAATTGTACAATCTCTATTTTTGCTTTTTACACTGGATTTTCATGCGAGTTCCTGATTTTCACTAGCAAAATATGAAGAAATAAGGTTTGTCATGAACATTTGCACAGTATTGTGTAACTGTGAAATATTGGTCAACTGTTTTTCTCAGTCATTTTTTGTAAAAGTGTACAGTATTAAAGACA